GAAAAACCTTCGACCTTGGTCCCACACTCTGAATCTGGTCTTGAACTTGTGGTCGAATCCTCAACCTTGGTCTCTAACCTTTGGTCAGACCCTAAATCTTGGCCTTGAATCTGTAGTAGAACCTTCAATCTTGATCCCACAATCCTGGTCCCACACTTTGAATCTTGTCCTTAAAGTTATGGTCGAATCCTCAACCTTGGTCCCTAATTCTTGGTCAGACTTTGGCTCTTGGCCTTAAATCTGTGGTAGAATCTTCAACCTTGGTCCCTGAATCTTGGCCTTAAATTTATGGTCGAATCCTCAACCTTAGTCCTACATCCCTGTCTAGATGTCCTATTTTTGGTCCCAGACCTTTGACTAAATCCTCAATCTTGGTTCCAGGTCCCTTACTAGATCCCCAATTCCTATTTTTATTAAGTACCAACAGTGCAAATTTTCAGTTATTCTATTAAACTAGTACAAACTGAGCAAACACCAGTAGGATAGTATCAAACACATACATACATATATCAGATTGCATTATAAGCTGTAATTCCTTTATTAACTCGATCCCAAGTCCACCCATTGTGCAGAGTGCTTTCAATTTGCCAGTCACGATACATAATTCCCGTTTTATCCATTGTACACTTACAATGTTCACCATCCTAGATTATTGGTTTGTCAGATCAAACTATCTTGATCGATCAATGATCTGCGACCACACACACGTACTCTCACGCCTTACTCTATACCTCTCGTTTACCTATGTAACGACCATAATAACCATCCTTATTCCACCACTAAAATGAGTAATTACCCTATTTTCAACATCATCAGGAAGCAGTTAAACCGCAAAAATCGTACGATTACTATCATCACGCTCGCGGAATTTACTCATAATCCCCCCGTTTACAAACCTCGTAAAGCTGTTAAACTTTCTTGTACAAGTTTAAATCGTTCGTCGGCAATATCGCGCAATTAAAGTGCAGCCTTTCCATCCGGTCCCCCGATCGAGTACTACACCCGAGTACGATCTTGATCACCGCGATCGATCCGCAATATTCGCCGATCGATATTTCACAGTGCCTCCCCGATAATGTACAGTAATGGTGTGCAATTTGCATTCAACTGGAATACGCGACCGTCGAATACGACGCTATAACTTCTCCATTATTCATAAATAACATTTCAATTAAAGCACGATCTGCCTGGGCGTTTTGCAATTTTCGTCGTTTTACGAGGACAGTTTTCCCGGGTCCGGACCGTAAATTGCAATTATTTCGACCGGTGGCGAAAAATCCCGCCCGACTGAGATAACGATTTTTAAACGCAGCCTGTAAATTTACTCGCTGGACAATGTTGTAAAATCGTGGTCGAGGAACGTATACGTGTGTACGTTATTATCGTACGTTGGAAATCGAGTTGTCCCGCCGCTGTATATCGTTGCACACAAAAGGGTTGCTCGAACGTGGAGGAGAAAGTTTCTCGATTTTGCGATCGTAGGTGGATATTTTTCGTGCACGCGTTACCACGATACGGTTTCTCGATCGGTTTCACTTTCTACCGAAAGCTCGCTGCCTGCATCCGTGCTTATGACGAAATGCCTCTACGAGGCGAAATTCCACGGTTTATCTTTACCGATGAATTATACGCCTGTTCCTAGAGCGGACGTTTCCTTTTGCCTGGACGATTCATTGCTTTTAACGAATACACTAATGCGGCGAACGCGTTGCTCCGTTCTACGGCACACTCGAACATTTGCGGAATATTTCAGTACGTTACTCTGTGGAAACGTAGTCAATACGAAGGTATAAATGTTTTTTAAGCTGTTGAAAGATTGCGAGGTGTGCGAGATTGTACGAAGACGTGATAATGAAGAGAAATAACTTGTCGTGTGCTTAAATATCTTCAATTTAAGTCGCTTCTTGTACGGCTGAATGAATTAACTTTGAAAGGGAACAAGTAGAAAACGCGCTTTCCGAAAAATTATGAAATATTTTGTAATTTTCCTATTATAGTTATTTTAAGGAACTGATTTTGTAATTATTTAAACATTAACTCAAGTTAATTCACAGATATTTGAAATGAGATGAGATAAAGATATAGACATGTGTCCTTAGATCTAAAAAGTAAAGGTTTTCTAAAATAAAAATAAAATAGTCATTTATCACAGAAAAATAAGGAATATTCTTCTTCTTTCTAGTGTTCTTTTTCTTTATTTAGTCATAAATTCATGTCTCCTACCACCAAACTGTCAACGCTATCTTAATTTCCAAAAATTTCAATTTCATTCTTCATTATGCACAAAGAATACACAAAACATTTCCATTCGTCTCGTACACCTGCAACACAGAAAGGGTTGAAACCAATTCTTCCTCTCTCCAACGTTACAATTAATTAACCCGAATCATCTACACAGCTCTCAGAATCGCGTTATTCCCCAACCCTCCCTCAAACGTCCTCAGCTGTCCCCGTTAAAAATACCCTTATCTACATAATTAGAAAATTACAGCCTGAGTCGGCCGGTTTATCCTATCAATATGGATCCTCAATCAGCCGAATCCTCTTTCTCGCCGA